AGGATAGACTCGAGAATGATGTGCACCAATTAATTGCACCATTTCATTGCACCACCATCTATGTCATTTGGCCAGTTGACCAATGTCATTTAGCATATTTAGTACATTAATAGTATTTTATTTGATTAATAAATGATCACGTTCAAGACATTGTCTGAAATCAAGGTCTAAATGCATAACAAATATATTAATAATCTTCTGTATAATAAGCAGAGGAATGGTTTGCCTGCCATTGGGTTTCAGTAATCACTTGATTCAGAAGAGGACCGATCAGATGGTGGACTCAGTTCTTGATTAATATAACTTTGTATAATATAACTGAAGTCCGAATCCACACTAAATCCCAAATCCAGAGCTCTTCTCACGTCGAAAGAGACGGGAAGTGATGACACGATTGCATCGATTTGTGGATTGTATTCAAAACGTATGAGTTCTGCCGTTTTCTGTCCCGCAATTTGGGCCAAACTGTCCATCATTTGGTCGACAGTAACCGTAATTCCGGGCAAATTCACGTTACGGTGCGGACCGAAAGCGGTGGCCGGCAGTACCGCCGCGTGTATGAAATTCTCGACCACTGTTTTCGGACTAGTGATCCATATCTTCTGATCTCTGGCCACCGGACAGATGGCAATCCGTCCGCTCAATGGCTCTCTTATGATACCGCTGGCGAACGACGTGACGGCCAGATTGGCCGCACCCGGGCGTACGGACACTGTGGGCAGTCGCAGCACTCGGCCGTCTATATAACCCCGACGGGTGTAGTCGGCAATCATGAGTTCGGACATCGCTTTCTGATTGCCGTACGAGGATTGGGCCAATACGGCTGTCCGCTCGTCAATGTCCTGATCCATGGGTTGCGGCCAACCATAGACCGCACAACTGCTGGCAAACACGAGTCGAGTTTGCGGCCGATTCTGGTGTCTTATGGTCTCCAGAAGATTGTGAGTGCACTCGACGTTCACTTTATAGCCCAAATCGAGATCCCTCTCCGCGTGACCGCTCACTACAGCCGCCAAATGAAAGATAATATCGATACTCGTCTGAAAGAGTTCGTCCACGGCTTCGGGTCGAGTCAAGTCAAACACCAGACACCGGACCCTATCGTCTCTGACAGGACTGACCGGCTTCTGGATATCGACGAGAATGAGTTCATCAAACCGGAGCTCATCCCTGGGCTGTAGTAAAGCCTTCGCCAACTGTTGTCCGAGAAAACCATTTCCACCCGTTATTAAGATTTTGAATTTGTTTGAAATCGATCTCTTCCTACCCGTCGACGGCCTTCTCATTGCGTCCATAATTCAAACACAAATCCTAACCAAAACTCGAAAATATGTTTTCGCTTTTTATTTCACTTTTAAATTATCTAATCTTCAAATGTGTTATAAAATATGTGTTTTTCTGAACCAAAGAGTCTATCAATGGTTTTGATTGTATTCAATACTGAGTCCAAGTTTTTTATGAGTTAATATTTTGACAAATCGTGTGAAACCGTGTGTTTATATGGTTTAACGTAAGAATATTCTGCCGTTTAAATACATATGAGCTGTGAATTAGGCGTTAAATAAGCGTTGATTTGAATTATAAGTGAATTAATAATAATCTATGAGAAAAAAGTTTGGATAAAGTTTTGTACAAAAATTGTTTTCACCAAAAAAGAGTTCAAAAAGAGTTTCAATCAAACAGTACTTCAATACAGTAGACACTAATACAGTAGTAATGCATTAGTGCTTATATTGTGTGTATTATTTTGTATTGCAATTGCATTGAATGTGTCAACAATAATCTCTTATAATCTGTACTTACATACAGTCAACTCCCAGTAAAATACACATAAATATAACAATACTTTATAACTTATATTTGGTATAATTTACAATTAAATAGAAAATAATTAATTAATTTTAATAATAAAAATAATCTATAATTTAGTAATAGTTGAATGAAATGAGCGAACAATGGGTTGAATGCAATAAATGGTGTGAAATGTGCTATAAATGGGAAACACATGACATATAAAGGGATGACATCTTTATGTTGGAGTCGTTTCACAGGTTTTGCATTGGATTTGAAATTTTGAATTCATTTCACGTTTTAATCACAATTAGGGCTCAAATTGTGGCCAATATTAGTGTCACAAGTGTTTCATCACTACATCCGTCGCCGAAGAGTCAAAGAGTGCATCGGATTATTGATTGTCGATCTGTTTGTATAGATTTGACGCCAAATCGGCGGCAAATTGAGTGCCGGAGACGAAGACTCGGCGCAAGTGTTTCCACCCATTGTGTGGACAATCCATTGCAGACAAGACTATCGGCGGATCAGTTGTCGTAACACATTATCGATGATGTCTTCGTCGTCGGCCACAAGAGTGGGTGAGATCTTCAACGCCGCGGGAATTGCTTTCACAAAATTGGGTGAACTGTCGATGACTTTACACGAAAGTGAGGACACGTCGGGTGCGGCCACCGGTCGCTGGGACTCAGAGGACATCCAAATGCTTCAGTCGGCTGTCAAACGGTTTGGCGAAGAGTTGAATCAGATATCNAATCAAATAAAATACTATTAATGTACTAAATATGCTAAATGACATTGGTCAACTGGCCAAATGACATAGATGGTGGTGCAATGAAATGGTGCAATTAATTGGTGCACATCATTCTCGAGTCTATCCTTAACTTCTTTATACGGGAACTTCTTTAGAATCTAAAGTTTAGATCCTTTAGAACTTTAGAAAAAGCGTTATTTATGTGAATGAATGGCAACACAAGTGTTGGGTCAACACATCAGAGCCGGCGATCAACTCATCATTTAATTGTAAACTTATATTAATTGTTAATTCACTCAATATTTTCCCATCAATTTATTTATAGTTAACTATAATGTGTGTTAAACACTATAAAAATATATATCGACAACAGTTTGGGATGAAATGCATTTTCTAAAAATACAATAAACAAGTTATTAAACGCTTAGTAATAGTAATCTAGTATTAAAAATAACACACAATTTAGTTATCGTTATATAACTAAACAGACAGTGATTTGAGTGACAATTAAAAAGTCCAAAGGTTTTGAATGATTAGGAAAAATAGTTGTGATATATTTGTCAACGATATCTACTTCTCAACAATAGATTTCACATTCAGTACTATATTATATAATTATATATAAGTTTGTGTCCAATTGTGGGCTTAATTGTCGATAAGATATCATTAATTGTTATTTCAAACCAAAATATCGTATAAATTCAAGACTCAAACTCACATAACATTGTTATTCAATAGCAAACACTTTTTTGGGGGGCGTTTGCTGTGAACACCAGTCTATCAGCTAATACTGTCGGCACTAACTATGGCTAAGTATGACTTAAATTTCAATTAATTTTATACATATTATTGTAATTCTTGTATAATATTCACAATTAATTTGTAAATCATTAAAATTGCTAACAATTGTGTGGTATGAGTAAGTTTTGTGACTACAAGTCATGCAATTAAATAAATATTGTTATAAATGTCCAATTGTAATACAATTATAAGTAATTGTTAGTAATATAATTAGAATTTTATTATTATTATAATGTTCAACAATTTGTTTAAAATATCTAATATTTTAACTTAAAATAATATTTATTTAAATTATAAAAATATATATGAATTCTTATTTAATGAATGAAAATATTTCACTTTGCAATCAATCCAATCAACAGTTAAATAAAGTTTAGGCAAACAATTGTCACAGACTTTCAAACTATAATTCCTTTTAATTTATGATTTCTTATAATTTATGACAATTTGATTTTTGTCTTCAGTGAACGCATAGATAAGTCAAATATAAAATAATTATTTCTAAAACAACATATGTTTAGAAAATAAATTCACAATTTTATTAATAAAAAGTGAAAAATATGTTTTCAAAACCAAAACCGAAAACTTCTATAAATTAGTAAAACTATTGTTATATTTAAACATATTTTGATTGAAAACAATTAATTTGTAAAACATTTATCTCTTCAAAAACAGTC